AAAAAAAAAAAAAAAAAAAAAAAAAAAAAAAAAAAAAAAAAATAGAAAGTCAGAAATAAAACCATTTTTATTTCTATAGTATTTTATAATTGGTAATTTTTCATGATGCTTTTTTAATGCTGGGAAAGAAAATGAATATAAAAATAGACATTTTAATAATATTATGATAGCAAGTGATCATTTTAACCAAATTAAGAACCGTGTTTTTTCTCAAGGATTTAAAAAATACTTGGTCAAGTCAATAAAATCACAACTATACAAAAAATAGAGATGCTCACTTTTTACTTTGAATTCCCATGGTGATTTCAAATGTAAAGAACAGAAATGAAATTTCTCTAATCATCAGGGAGCAGCAGAAATGTAATCAATGTTATATAGGAGATGGTCTTCTGAAAACTGTGTGTAAATTTAGCAAACCATACCATATTTAAAATACATCAGAAAGCTTGTCATTTAACCCTATGGTAAATGAGTCTGTGATTCTTTAAAATATATTTTTTGTCATTTATTTTCTTAAATAATAAAAGTAGCAAAATCTCAAACAATAAAGAAGTTCCCTAAATATTCTAATCCCAATCCCTAGGTATGACCACTCTTAAACATTCCTTGTGAATATCTAAACTAGATAGATGTTTCTTATACATTTATAATAAACACCTATACAGGTGGCAATCATACTATAATCAAGGAGGCATTATTACCTCCTTGGGGTCATATGCCCAAAGAGTGGGAAAGGCTGTTTAGTAAAATAACACTCCAATTGTTTAGCTACCCCTTCTGAAACTAAAGCTTCTTCCAAAATGTACTTTTACTTTGCCTACCTCTTCCCATTACATAAAGCTACAAAGCAGACACACCCCATGAATACCTTGTTTTCTGGCTAGAAGTTGTCTGTATGCTTCCCTTTAGTCTCTACATGATTTGTTTCCCCGTTTTAAAGAAGTAAGGTATAATTTACACATAGTAACATTCACTGTTTTCAGTGTAGTTCTGCCAGCGCTGACAAACACTTACAGTTGTATATTCACCACCACGATTACCATCACTCCAAAAACTCCCCCACACTCCTTGGCAATCCACCCCTCTCTACACCCTTGATCTCAGGCAACCATGGTTTGTTTTTCTGTCCCTATAGTGTAGCCTTTTCTGGAATGTCATATAAATAAAATCATACCTTCTTAAAACCTTTTGAGTCTTTCATTTAGTGTAAGGCATTTAAGATTGATTCATTTTGCTAGATATATCAGAAGTTTGTTTCTGTGTATTGCTGAATGGTGTTCCATTGCACAGATATACCAGTTTGTTTATACACTCACCAGCTGAAGGACATTTGGGTTGTTACCGGTTTTTGGCAATTATGAATGAAGCCACTATAAACATTCCTACATAGATTTCTGTATGAACTTGTTTTCATTTCACTTGGGTAAATATCTAGAAGTGAAAAGTACTTGACAGCATAAAAAAAGTATGTTTAATGAGAAACTGCCAGACTTTGCAAAATAGATGTACCATTTTGCATTCCCAAACTTGGTATGGTAAATTTTTATTTCATTTCGAGCCATTCTATTGATGTGTAATGGTATCTTATTGTGGTCTTAATTTGCATTTCCCTACTAATTAATGATGTCAAGCATCTTTTCATGTACCATCTATACATCATCTTCGGTGAAGTGTCTGTTTAAATCTCTTGGCCATTTAAAAATTTGAGTTTTTGCTTTCTTATTGTATGATAATACTTCATATATTTTAGGTACAAATCTTTTATCAGATATGTGATTTGGATATAATTTCTCCCAGTCTGTGGCTTCTTATTCTCTTAAGTATCTTTTGAGAAACAGATGATCTTACTTCTGATGAAGTGTCATTTATCAATTTTTTTCCTTTAAGGATCATGCCTTTTGGTGTCACATCTAAGATACTTTTGCCTAACCCAAAATGTTGCAGAGATTTTCTGCACAGGCTTTTTAATTTTCCTCCCTGTTTTCTCAACATCTTCTAATGACAACTTGAAGTCATCAAAGCAGCCTCTTAAGCTGTTTTTAGATTTTCAACTAGTTTATTATTTTTTTCATAATCTCATGCATAAGGACCCATTCTGAGCTATGGAACATGTCCTAATAATTTTCATCTCACAACATGAAAGATGATGTACTGAGGAACAGAGAGAAAAATGAAACATTAATGTCAAAATGGGGTGGGGTAGGATGAAACAGGCGATCAGCATGCACAGGGGCGTTGTGCCCAAGCATTTGTTAGTATGATTCACATTATCAGCTGGCAGTGATTTACAATACATACATATATTAGCTTGTAGCACACAGTGTATGAAGTGGGATCCTGGTAAGGGATTCCCCTAGACAACCTTCTCCCTGGTGCCTGGGGCCTCCCTGGAAAATGCCATTTTATAAATAGACATAACTTTTTTTGGTAACTAAATTCTCCCCTAAAGTAACTAAAAGTCAGTAAGTTTTAGATGTGCAACTGCTTATAGCTCTCTAATATGAACTTGATCTTCAATAGCTAGGTTTGAAGTGTAAGCTGGTGCCTGGTTTGGGCTAAGAAATGCCTTGTCACCACTGAGAGGCCTGGGTAGCATGGCCCCTGAACACCTGGCCCCCAGGATCCGTCAGGACTAACCCCAGCCAGCACCATGAAAAGGAAGGCTGATTCTCCAAAATGACCCCAGACAAGAGAACAAATTCTCACTCTTATATCCCTGAGGCCCACTGACTAAAGGGCCATTGCTTCTCTGAACAGGAAGAGGAAGGACACAGTTTGCTGGGAATCTATGGGCTGTCATAATTAACTCACCTCTACCCCTTCTCTTTTATCCCTGTGTATCACACCTGACTAGTGAGAACTTATCTCCCCCGTTTGGCAAGAATCCACTTCTCAACAGTGCTTCATCCACCCCTGAGAGTCTGTTTCTCTATTTAAAAGCTCTCTGAAATTTAGAGAAAAGATAATCTAGTTCTACCTCTGCAACTTGAAAATTGGTTCTTCATTAGAGTATATAAGTAGGCATTACTATCCATATCTTAATGATGAGGTAACTGGAGCTGAACAAATTACCATTTCAACTAATTTGAAGAATCCTGATTTTTCTCAAAGAATATAAAATTACTTGATCAAATTAGTATTATTGTTAATTTACATAAAATACAGAGATGTCAGCTTTTTCTTCAAAGTCTCACAGAGACTCAAAGTTCTAAGAATAAAAACGAAACTGTTCTAATAAGAATCAATAGAAATGTACTCTATATTATATAAGACATGGTGTCTAAAAATTTATGAGTAAACTAAATTTCAGTGCACTGAGGCTGAGGTTAGGTAACTCACCATGGTCGCACGGCTAGTCTGTAATGCAGTCAGGATTCAAACCCAGCACTGTCTATCTCTAAAGCTATGCTCTTTCCACTCTTCCACAATGAACCTACACCAGAATGGCAGTTCGAAGAAAGTCAAACAGTGAGTGACTGAATTACACATACTCGTCGTCTGCTTTCCTTTGTTTTGATTTTCACAGGTATCAACATTCCAATGACGTATGTCACAAGGTGACATTTGCAATCTTTGTAATATTGGGAAGCATAGATGGGACATGACCAACTTTGAGAAAGCAGAAGAGGGAGGAGTATTAGAAATGCAGGTGAGATTCATGCAAATTATAAAAAATTAATTGCTAAGTATAATGTAGTACCCTGTATTAGAACCTGGAACAGAAAGAGGGTATTAATGGAAACACTGGTGAAATCCAACTCAAATTACGCAAATTATAAAAAATTAATTGCTAAGTATAATGTAGTACCCTGGATTAGAACCTGGAACAGAAAGAGGGTATTAATGGAAACACTGGTGAAATCCAACTCAAATTAGAGTATAGTTAATAGCAATGTAAAATAGAAGAGAGCTAATTAGAATTTAGGACTAATATTTCCAGAAAATATGTCATGATACTGATAAGTCTACACTGATGAAACTTCAGCTTTCAACGTAAAGTAACAGACACAGAAATAGAGCAGGTGAATCTAAAAATAGAAAATAACACACTTTGCCCTTGCTTCCTCCCATTTTTGTTTTTTCTCATCAACAGTTTTCTTCATAACTTGGTACCACTTTCTGAAATCAAACCATGGCTTATCTGAAAGAAATGAAATCCATGATTATTAACCAAACAAACCACATTATTATAACATACCCTGTTCATTTGAGCCTTCATTCATAGACACAGCTAAACATTTACATAATAGCTCCTGGAAGTTATGGATGGAGTCATTGTCTCCATACTCTAACATGAGTATGACTCTTTCGAGGAACCCATCACTTCCGTCCTCCAAGTTCCCACCTATACTGTGGTCTCAACTAGATAATAATGAAATCATTTTTACATGTCTGTTTCTCCTAGACTTGACTATTACCTCACTGAGAACAGAACACATGTATTGTTTGTCACTACGCAATCAGGCCTCTTCCTGAACCCAACAACCAGTACAGTGCCTGGCACATGACAGTCCTCCAATAT